TTCTTTAGAGGGATAGAGAAAGGGAAGACGGAAGGGGAGGGAGTGAAGGAGAGAGGAAAGGAGCGGAACGAGGGGAAGGGAATGAGGAAGAGGGGGAGTGAGGAGAGAGAAGAAGAAAAGGGAGTGACGAGAGAGGAAAGGAGAGAAATGGGGATGGAAGGAGGGAGGGAGAGAGTGATAGAGAAAGAAAAAAACCATGACAAATAAATAAAAGAAGAAATATGATATGAGAGAGAGAGAGAGAGAGAGAGAGAGAGAGAGAAGAGAGAGAGAGAGAGAGAGAGAGAGAGAGGAGAGAGAGAGAGAGAGAGAGAGAGAGAGAGGAATAAAGTTCATAAAAAAATACGACAGTCACAGTAAGTGGAGTTACAGTAGTCCAGTAAAAGTCAGTGAGGAGGAAGAAAGAATGTATGTACTGTTTATGCCATTTGTTGATCTAAAAACATCTTCCAGTCTTTACTAATATTTAAATGCACATGTTCGTCTTTTGTTTTTATGATTCTTATATTCATATCTCACATCTTTTGGTTCACACATAAGTACCGTATATATATATATTATATATATATATATATATATATATATATATATATATATATATATATATATATATATATATATATATGTGTGTGTGTGTGTGTGTGTGTGTGTGTGTGTGTGTGTGTGTGTGTGTGTGTGTGTGTGTGTGTGTGTGTGTGTGTGTGTTTGTGTGTATGCGTGTGTGCATGTGCGCATATATTATTACACGTGTTCCTATCCATTCCTTATTCCCATAAAAAATCATCTTCAGTCTATGTCTTTCCCATTCCATTCCTTCGCACACCCTCCCTTCCCTCTTCCTGATCAGAGTCATCCGTGATTCCTCCAGCGTGTTCAGCACCAAGCGACTCCCAACTTTGTTCACCGTCGTTCATCCGATCAGTAACCCTTAACCGTAATACCCTGATGCAAAGGATCGCTTATGTTGCAGAATAATTAAGATCAACGATATACGTATCAATTTCCCTCCTCTCCCTCTTCCCCTTCCCCTTTCCCCCCTCCCTTCCCCTGCACCCCCCTCTACCCCTCCCCTTACCCCTGCACCCCCCCCACCCCTCCCCTTACCCCTCCCCCTCCACCCCTCCCCCTACAACCCCCTCCACCCCTCCCCTTACCCCTGCCCCCCCACCCCCACCCCCTTACCCCTGCACCCCTCCACCCCCTCCCCTTACCCTCCACCCCTCCCCTTACCCTTACAACCCCCCCCCCCCCTTTAGACGCTGCACCTGTGACTGAGACCAAGTGCAAGTTGCAAGGGGATTCTGATTATATACGATCGTAATTAGCAACTGCAAGGACTTTGGGACTAATTAATCTGCAACTGGTTTGGCTTTCCATTTGCCCGGGGAAAGATTCTGCCCTTAATATCTTGCCATTAGATGCCTCTTGGTTATGTTGGGGAAAAATGTGTCTTGTATAATCTCGTAAAGATATTCATATTTATTTTATTATTTATCTATTTATTTATTTGGAATCCTGATTAGCTTTCTTTTATGGGAAAAATGTGTCTTGTATAATCTGTTAAGATATTTCTATTATTTATTTATTTATTTATTTTGTCTGTCTGACGGCGGTGTCATCACGGTGGTCAGTGAATGTGTAGCTTTTCAGTAAAATGTTTTCAAAGGTGAGGAGTTTCCGTATCGTATATATATATATATATCTAAGACACACAAAAACAATCGCCAAGTCAAAATTCAAAGTTCAAAAATCACAATAACTCGACAGGAACGAACAAAAAAAAAAAAAAAAAAAAAAAAAAAAATCAAAATTTCCATCAAGATGTCCCGCGCAGATGTCCGCCATGACGACTGTAAACAACATTGTCCCGTCGAGTGTCCGTCGGGCTCTTCTACCCACAACACAACCGGTTTTTTTTCCGAGGGAGACGACGATCGCGACCTCGGTCACATCTGCTCAAAATCCACCCCGGTTATCATTATTATATATATTTTTTTCGTCTTCATTCAGGAAGTCGTTCACTAAGGATGCGGGACGAGAGAGCCGAGAGAACAACGGCGCTAAACAATGGCGTTCTGCCGGCAACACTGGCCCTTCTAAATACAATTCGCTAAGGCTATTATCCCATGCTTTCAGATGCCCCCGTTAATCTCTTTTCGCTCGATTTATCCTGCACATCAGGATAATGGGGTAGAGGAGTGGATAATCTGTATTTAATTGTGACAAGGTTTGCGGCAAAGTGGATCACGTCTCAGATGCGAATTAGCAGATAGCCCACTATGGCTCTGTGAATGCTTATTTCGTGTCTCCCATTGTGTGTTATTACGTCCGATTCCGTGCGGCGCGGAGACGGTGTTTGATTTATGGTGATTTTATCTCTTTTTCTACTTGCCGAGCTTTTACGAAGAATTAGATTCCCAAAAGGAAACAAGATACTCTGTATTCAGGTATAAATATCCACACAAGATATTGTCATGAAATATCGCACAAATGAAAGCAAATTGTGCTCAAGGTTTGAAACAATCGTGACGTCATGAGAGGGACCAGGTGGGCTGGAGACACAATTATTCAGCGCTCTGTGTTTTTTCGTGCTCATCCTCATGATAATATCCATTGCCTCCATGTCCAATTTATCGCAGAATGTATCCTTATCCTTGTCTTTATTAACACTTGAGCTATTTCTTTCTTTAGTAAATCATATTTCTTCATCACTACCATTGTTTTAATAATGCTATTTCTTTCTTTTGCAAATCATATTTCTTCATCACTACCATTGTTTTAATAATGCTATTTCTTTCTTTTGTAAATTATATTTCTTCATCACTACCATTGTTTTAATAATAAATACCATGGTCATAGATATCATGGTTATTGGCATGATCACGAACGTTGTACCAAAGACTGTTTATGACAAGCGAAAAGGAATACATTAATAATCATAAATGTACTCTTGAAATGCGATCGCCTACACGTGAGTGCCCGAAGACCCAGACAGAATTATAAACAGACGGAAGAGGGAGAGAGAGAGAAGGAGAGAGAGAAGGTTGGGAGGGAGGAAGGGATGGAGGGGGAGGGAGAGGGAGAGGGAGAGGGAAGAGAGGAGAGGGAGAGAGGGGAGAGGGAGGGAGAGGGAGAGGAGAGGGAGGAGAGAGAGAGAGAGAGAGAGAGGAGAGAGAGGAGAGAGAGAAGAAGAGAGAGAGAGAGAGAGAGAGAGAGAAGAGAGAGAGAGGAGAGAACAGGAGAAGAGAAGAGAGAGGAGGAGAAAGGAGAAGAGGAGAGAGAGAGAGAGAGAGAGAGAGAGAGAAGAAGAGAGAGAGAAGAGAGAGGAGAGAGAGAGAGAGAGAGAGAGAGAGAGAGAGAGAGAGAGAGAGAGAGAGGAGAGAAAGAGAGAGAAGAGAGAAATAGGAGAGACAGCGAGAGAGAAAAAAGAAAGAGAGAGAGAGAGATAGACAGAAATAGAGAGAAGAACAGACAGACAGACAGCGAGAGAGAGCGCGCGAAGGAAGGCCCCATTCGCGTGTAACAAAAGCTGGATATAATGCCATTGTGAGGCAGAGGGATGGCCTGCATGGTTTACGCACCGCTTACAAAGATCGACCCTCTAATGCGACCAGTTTTTAATCGGGTTGGCCATTGTGGCTCTCACCTCCAGGCACTTTGGCCGTCTTCGGAGGAGCTGCTGGTTCACAGGATCGGCCCCTGGGGAAGGAGGGGGGAGGAGGTGGAGGGGGGGGAGGAGGTGAGGGGGGCGGAGGGGGAGGGGATTGAAGGATGCTGATGATGGATGACGTACGGAAGTATTAGATGGGGGTGAGGAGGGGGATGGGAGGGGAGGGGAAGGAGGATAGGATGCGTAGGGGAAGGGATGGAGGATGGATGGGGTGGAGGGGGAGATGGGATAGGATGGGGTGGGGAGAAGGATGGGATAGGATGGGTGGGGTGGGAAGGGATGGGAGGAGGATGGGGGAGTGGAGGGGAAGGGGGATGGGATGGGGTGGAGGGGAAGGGATGGAGGATGGGGTAGAGGGGAAAGGATGGGAGAGGATGGGGGGTGGAGGGGAAAGGGATGGGAGAGGATGGGTGTGGAGGGATGGGGGTGAGTGTAAGAGATGGGATGGGATGAGGTTGGGAAAGAGATGGTGGTGAGGGATGGATGGGTGGGGTGTGGAA